TTTTGGTGAAGTCTTTTGAAGAGCATAGGTGTTTGATTTTTAGAAGATCCCAGTTATCTAGCTTATCTGTTGGGTTTTGTGTGTTGATGGTTGTTGTCCACAGATTTTTGACAGAGTTAATAATAAAAATTTCACCAGAGCAACTCGGGATCACTCGTGTGAACTCTTCAAAGTTACTTGAATATTATTGACCACACCCAGTTTTTGATCATTTGGCCCATTAATTGGTTAATAGAGTTTGACAGATAAGATATCTGGCTTTAGGGGTTTAAGCAAGCAGAAAGAAGCAACTTTTATCATACATGTCCAACTAAAAATGTATCACTGGAGTGAACTGGTATAATAAAAATGATACTCAAATTAGAAACATCTCTTATTTATTTTTCAAGTTACAGATTATTACTGCAGTCATTATAATAAGTTAATATGCATGATATGAAGTGGCCTGGGTAGATGCTTATTAAGCATACAGAAAACTCCTACTGCTGACTCCTATAAATGCTTTCCATATTTATTAAATATTTATGATGGTTGGCTAATTCATTTGTACTTTCATGAGAATGATACGGGAATGTAAAGCCAAATCAATATTACCTAAAAGTATGTCTACCCAGACCAATCAATTAGTTAATTTTCATTACTAAATGATTCTTTATCATACAGAAATATTTTGATGCCAGAGTTACTTTAGTGAATCTACCTTGAGATTTCACATATGCTTCGACTAACCAAAAAATCAATTTATTTTCATAATAGTGTAAATTATGGCATGTTTCTGCATGCAGTTTTATACAAAAGCAACCTAGAGGGTCAACATACGTATTATTCCTTTTACTTTTTAGGTATCAAATATAAAAGCTTGCTTTGGGCTACCCATTAATAAATTCTTATTAAGGACCTATATGTGAAAGAGAGAATGGAAGTTAAGATCTGCATGTGACTAACCTATGGTCTTTGCTCCCCAAAGTTTTTAATTTAAAAGACTTGTAGCTAATGGCTTTAGTTTCTTCTGTGTAAAAATACATTTGTAATGATTCATTTACTAAAAATGGTGGTACTGTCATTTCAATATGAAAGTGTTTTCTCTTTATTCTTAACTTTACATGTACCATATCTGAAATCATTCATTCCGAAATAGGTGTTTTCTATACCCAATGATAAGCCTGAGGATTGTGCACATATTCACAATGGTTACTTATTTTATAAAACTGTAGTTTTCAAACTATGCTCATCACAGAAAAGGAAAGAAACTATCCCAACTTCAATCAAAGCAACTGCTTTTATATTTTTATACATTAAGCTTCTGTTTCAGGTTCTCTTTAAACAAAGAGTTACAAGGCCAGAAGTTTTAAAAACCGTTGTTATGAAGCAATTTTTAAAAAGTTCATGACATTTTTTAAATTATCTGTAAAGACTGCTATATTTTATTTATGAGCAAAAACACTGAGGAAAGTAAGACAAATTAAGTGCCTTTTATGTACAAAACTTTGTCTAGGAGCATCTACTACAGCTCAAAAAAAATCAAAGAAATTATATACATGAACTCACATTCTCAAAAGTTTACTGTCGTTGCTTTTAATGGAATAACTGTATAAAAATGTTATTTTGCTCTCAATTGCCAAGATCAACTTATTACTTTTCTATGATTGTTGAAAATATTCCACCCACCATTTTGTACACCCTACTATGCACAAGTCAGTGATTCCGTTTTCTTTGTGTGCCTCTGTTACCTATTTCAAAACACATTTAAGATGTAGAAATGTTTGCATTAGGCTACAGGATTTGTTTTTCCTACAAGTTGTATACTTTTACTTTGTACCTGAATAATTAATTCTAAAATAGCTGAATAATTTTTCAGTCCCCTGCTTGTGGTAGTAGAGAAATATTAAGTGGTTCTCAGGCTTTTATATTTCATAGACTAATAAGCTTTCAAAATAAATTATACAAGGGTATTATCATTATGAACACACAGGATTATCATCAAGCACACTATTATACATGCCACTTGCCACCAAAAATGAAAGAAAAAATGTATGTATACACAGACACGCACATATGTAATGTTAAACACAAGATATGTTACATATATAATGCATATATATGTAATTTATATATTATAAAATATCACAAAAATAGTTATTTTAAATTAATTTAGAGAAATTCCTGAAAAATTTTGTAGTGAGTATGAAAACTTACCCCCTTGCCTCCCTTCCCTCCCCTACTCCTCATTTATAACATGAACTTGGGTGAAGTGAGTTACATGCTGGTATTATTCCATGTACCTGGGTTTGAGAACACTGAACACTGGTAAAGCAGCAAACTGAAAGAAAAGACAATTTTCTCTCTAATCAAAAACTTAATTTGAAGAAGCCTTCAGATATCCCAGATCTTGTTCATATAAGAATTTAACATATTATCTACACATTTGCTACTAAGGTATAATACTTTGGAATAGGTTACACTACTGTGAACATATATAGCATGGAGCTTCTTCAAAGAATAATCCTTTGTGAATCACTTGCAAAAATTTTCTCATTGGAGATAAACTACAACTTGATTCTATCAAATCATGAGATACTATCAAAGAAAATGTTACACTTTCTAAGTTTGCTTATTCTTCTTAAAGATTCTTAAATCTAAAGAGTGAAGACCATACTGCATTATTATATATAATTCTTCAAAAAGTTAAACTGAGAATAAAATACATTTTATTTAATTCTACTAATTGGACAAAAAGAACGAAGACAGAACTAATAACTTTTAG